GTGTGTGTGTGTGTGTGTGTGTTTGTTTGTATGTGTGTGTGTGTGTGGCGTCCCTTCCTTCATCTCCCAACATCACGTACTGGAGCCATATTCCTGGTCCTGCACAGCCAAAATGAGGATGCATTGTGCTCGGGGGAGACGGTGGCTCAGCAAAAAGACAGATCTAAACAAAAAACAACAACAAAAAGGTTGCTTTGCTTGCCCTATTCTCTCTCTAAAATGAATATATACGAGCCTTATCTGTGGTGAGTTACAAAGAAAGTGGGGGTGCGCTGCATTGGGGGGAAGACTGTAGTAAGGCGGCAATAAAGTTCACACAATAGGAACCGAAAAAATAGGGAAAAGTTACAGAACCTCCCCGCATTGAAACCTTTGTACTCATTTGCCCCCAAACGGGGCAAAAAGTGGTGCAGGCCCCAAAATGACTTTTTGTGTCACTTTTTGCACCTTGGAAAACACTTTCCTGCCATTTTTGCTGGCAGGTGTTACCGGCCAGACAGGGTGCAAAAATGACTCTAAAAGTCACTTTGGGGGCTGCAACACCTTTCGCCCCTTCTGGGGGGACAAATGTTTCGTTGCTGGTAGGTTCTATAACTTTTCCCAAAAAAATACATATACCAGGAGGCTGAATATCTATCTATCTATCTATCTATCTATTAATCCCTATATATACATATTCAACCTCTTAACTCACCAGTACTTGGCCCAGCTATCTAGTCCGATCCTCGGCCCACCGGTATGCCGATCCATGCCCAGGCTCGAGCTACCGGGTGAGTAGACTTCCCGGACGTGGTCTTTCAAGGAACAAAAAAAAAAGAGAAAAATTGGGAGAAATGAACCAAATTCTTCTTTAGAAAAAGAAAACGGAAAAAGAAAAACAACGTAGGAAAAATAACTCTCCTTTTCCATGTGCGAGGATCTGGGTCCTCGGCAGGCCTAAGAGGCCCTTCTAGAGAAGTGTCCGCCATAAGTGAACGTGGGCCTAACAAATCTCGAGAGGCCCTCTGCTGCCAATTTCGTATTTGGGGTCCAGGCAGTTGTGACGCGCCAGTCGGTTGAGGGAAACACAGGCCGAGCAGCAAAGACATTCCACGGCCTTCCAAGCCTTTCCTGAAATGCAGGCCCTGGGCAAGAATCGCAGCCTCATACACAGACAGTTGGGAGGCCCAACCAAATGAGGCCCAGTAGCTGCAACAGAGGCACAGCCCCCTGGGGCCTACCGGAAGCTTCTGGGCAAAGGCCCAGGCCAGCCAGGCCGCCGGGGCAGGCAGGCTCTTTCCATATAGGAAAGAGTTCGCTGCCTGGGCTCTCATTCAGGCACTTGCGAGGTGATGCGGCAGCGCTGCTGGAGAGATTGCTCGCGGGCTGCTGAGTGCTAAGGGCAAGGTGCTGCGCGCGTGTGGTCGTGCGGGAAGCAGGGCACTGCTGAGGGCAGCGTCATAGCCGAGCCTCCACAGCTGGCTGGGGCTTGGATTACAGTGAGGCACAAAGGTGGTCTTCGGGTGTACAGAGGGAAGACGTGGGTGCAAGTCAGGGGAGAGAGAGAAGGATGATGATGATGATGATGTGAGGGCACGTACCTGGTATTGGCGATGGTCTGCATTGGGCGACATCTTCAAGTACTTCGTTGGCTGCTGACGTCAACAGTTGCATTGTCAATTAGTAGGCAGGCAGTAGCTGTGTAGGAAGTAGGCTGGGCGCCGAGCGCCAAGGAGGGAGAAGGGACTGGGCTCTTATGTTGGTGGTGGCAAGAGCAAGCTCTCATTGACATTGGTTTTCAGTGTTACGAATCTCCATTGGTGTTATATTGGTGCCGCTTTCTGGACACCGATACTATCTGGCTTTCAATGTGATTGTGCATTCTGGATATTGTCATCTCGCTATTGCTCATTTTTTCTTGCTATTTGGTATCGGAGCTGGTTCGAACTGTGCTTCATTGGTTCTTCGCAATAGCTGTTTGGTGCTTCGCATGAGGTGCGGGGCAGTAATAAGGCTTGGGGGTTAAACGATTGGTGGCCCAGGGTCGTGTGGGCGCAACAGGAAGCTATGTGGTGACATTAGGGATGTACGCTGGTTGATGAGAGCTCGCTGATGTGGCATTTAAGCCATACGAGTTCCAGGGCATATAACACCTTGCGGAGTTGCTCAAGGTGTTCTGCTAGCACGACAACCAGCTACTGGAACAGCCGGGTGTGTCAGCAATCCCATAAAACTTGCATGTTTAACAACCGTCAATTCCATCAGTAATTGCCAGATTTTGGCAGTGCAGCAGCTACTCTTGGGGATGCATTGGAAATCAAACCAGTTCCAACCCATTGTTTAGCCACTGTCCAACTTACATCCAGGGCTGCTCTAGAGACTTGATATCCCAACTTTGTAGTGTATTGATGTAGAGCAAGTGTTTCGTGCGGGCGAAGCGGATGGTTCCAAACCCAGTCCCTAGGGTCAATTGGCAAATTATACGATGGAATTTGATGTGCTGTAACTTGTGTGCCAAATTGAGCTGCTGGGTGCTCGCCGGGCCCGCAGACAAGCACGAATGGGCAGGCTTGAAAAATAGAGGGGTCAAACAGGCCTAAAAAAGGGCCCAACTCGTGGACCCAGGCCCAGATCCGAGAAGTCAAAGTCTGCACATAAGATTTTCCTGGCCGTCGATCTGGAATGATCTCATAGTGGTTTGCAGGTTCCGGAAGATTCAGGCCTCAAGGAGTGCAGACCGAAGCTGGAAGATCCGGGCCCTCACATGGACCGACGCTGACTGTGGACAAGCGAGTGAACGCTATATTATGTTGACCTCACCACTGCTTGGGTATTCAGTCTTGTGAGTTGTTTGCGGCTATGACACTGCACGTGAGACTTGAGAGGAGGTGTTGGCGCCAGGCTGATGGATGGGCGCCAGCCAGATATCACAGTATTGAGATAGAGAGAGGGCGTCCAAGGTTGCAGCCATAGATGACGGCGAGGGAATGAGGGGAGAGAGATAGAGAGTGTGGGTAATATGAGTTGTCGTGCTTACGTACC